TTCTTCCCATCTCTTCCTTCAAACTCAGCCTCTTCCACAAAGCCTACCCTGAACCCCAGTGGTACTCAGTTCTTTCCACATTCTCACAGCATTCCCCACTTCCTGTCTAGAGCACCTATGTCATTCTGCCATGACTATTTGCTGCCATGACTTGGCTATTTGCATTAAAGCAGAAGCTCCTTGAGGACAGAAAATATTAAGTCATCTTTCCCTTTCCTACAAATGCTTAACACAGTACATTACTTATCAGGTTGTGGTACTCACTAAAGGTTTGTTTGATTAACCAATTATACATCTGACTTTCAACTAATTATCCACTTATTAAACTAAGCAAATGATCAAATTTAAAATGATTAACTTATTAAACTAAGAAAATGATCAAATAGACTGAACTCAATGGGATATATGTTTTAAAATCCTCTCATCCCTTTGAACTTACTCTTCCAGCTCTCACTTTCCTATCTCTCCCTAACATCCCACATAAATCCTATATCTTCTCACTTTCAAGTATTGCAAAATATAGCCTAGTCCAATTTAAATCTTCAATTACACATCTTATTCAGAGTATCCACACACCCTCACCTCAAGCCAGGCAAGAGAAATGGTCTTTTTTTTTCAATATTCTTCCTGGTTCGTTCACTTTTCTCCACTTCCTTACTTTCTGGTTCCTCCAGTACAGGACAGGCAGAGGAGAGGGACAAAGGTCCTGTGTGCCCAGTTCCATGCAGGTTTGCTGCATGGTCATGAAGCAAAATGAACTGTTATCCTTGAGTAATTACTGATTAACACCTTCTCTCATTCTCAGAGGAGCCCAATTTGAATAGCACATTTCAGGTCTTCAAGGCAAGGTGGAAAAATTTATATCAAGGAAGACTCACCCCTTCTGCCTTGCATACTTCCCAGATGTGGGGCATGTATTCTCAGGCTGACCTTCTACTATCCCACCCTCAGTCCTTTCATGTGGTAAGCAGCCCTGCCTGGAAGGATGCATCAAGATAACTTAAGCCTGGTTACTTCCCATGGTGTCCACTCAGTCCACAAAAATAAACTCAGGCATTCTTACTACATCAAATGAACAAATGGTGACTATTTCCACTACTGTCCTTCATTCAACATGCCATCTCACTGTCCCTGGTTACTCTCATCCCCTTCAAAAACAAGAAGTCTATATTCATTTTGTAGGTAACATATGTTTTAATCTGAATTTAAAAGTGGGAATTCTCCATTTAGTGCAGTGGATATTTATTAAATGTATATGTAATTGGACAAATGTTTGAAATATGAATAATACACTAATCTAGTAAGGCAAAATCTGTATGACTAGATGAGGAATCCTTCTCCTTCAGTGATGTATTTTGCATCCCCACTCCTTTTTTTAAATAAATTTTTACTTCACATTGAGTTCCTTAAAATGAAGGATCCCTTTTATAATAGGTAAGCAGTAGGTGTAACGTAGGGGAATCTCATCTTATCTTCTAGGATGATGACTAGGACTTGTTTCAGGATTTTAGCTAATGCTCCGAAGCCAAAAATAAAAGTTAATACCTAACCTTGATTTCTAAAGAGGGATGTGGGGCTTAGTAAGAAAATAGAACTGCTGCATCCACTTCACATATGTAAGAAAAATCAGAAAAGGAATATTACAAGTACCATTCAGGTGAAGAATTGCTAATCACTGGAGAGGTCTCTGACATAGCCCTGTTTCTCCCCAGAAAGACCCTTTGTTCCCAGCTTAGGATTTGGGTATGTCTACCAAAAGGGTAAATCAGTATTTAATTTCTTGTCTGGATATTTAATGAGCTACAAAATCTTGCTTCTTGATAGTGCAGTGGCATCTTCCAGACTGTTCTTGAGAGAGTATGACATACATTTCTGGGAGTTTTGGAAAAGTTTACACATATAAAGTTACGCATACTTCTAAAGTTAAAACATATACCAATCCTATTACAGAACAATTCTACTCCCAGGTATTTAACCCAGAAAATTAAAACATATGCCCATTAAAAGACTTATGCCAGAATTCTGTTTATTGCACCTTTAATCACAGTAAAAAGGAAAAAAAAAAAAGGAGAAAAATCCAATGTTCATTAACAAGATAGAGAAACAAACTGTGGTAAAATGGACCACTCAGCAACAGAACAAAACAAACCACTAATACAGACATGGATAAACTTCAAAAATATTATATTGAAGAAAAGAAGCCAGATACAAAACAGAACATACTCTGATTCCACGTGGGAATCATGTGCTCCTAGGGGACCAATGAATGATAAAGGCAAAGATCCCTTATCATTTCACTCTATGCCTCAAAAAACATAATTGGATCATTTGACTCTAAAGCCCTATTGCACAGCTGTCTTCCATTTAAAAATGCTGCTGCTAAGGCAGACTGTTTCTAACCAAGTGGCTGAATGTGTCCTTTCCATTAAGATGATGGGCTGTATATATCTACTCACAAAGTCTGTAAACATGTACGGTTCTCATTTCAATGAGCTTCATAACATTGTAATCCACTGTTATAATCAACTTAGACTGTATCAGACTGCTTAAACGAATGTGTTTTATTATATATGTTATATTGTTTTGTTTTATACATAACATTACAACTCCTTTTGGGTTCCCAAACCCAATACCAGTGTATGTGGCAGTGGAGTGGGGTGTCTTGCCACACACACCACCAAGCAATTCTCAAACACTAGCAGGGTGTCTGAGAAATCAACTCAATTCTGAGGTACTCTGCCCAGAAACAGCACCAGACTCCCCACCCAGACTCCCTTCTACAAGATTGCCCTCCCTCCATCCCCCATTCCAGATGCCAGTTGCAAGCCCCAGGCAGTACCTGTGCTTCTGACCAACCAACCAGCTAGTTTGGAGGTTCCAAATGACCTCTCGCTTAGCTCTCATTAATTTGCTAAAGTGGTTCAAAAACTCAAAAAAGCATGTTACCAGTTTAATAAAGGGTATCATAAAGGATACAAGTTAAGAGCTGGATGAAGAGAGACATAAGGCAAGGTCCCAAATAAAGGAGCTTCTATCCTTGTGGAGCTTGGGGACACGCTCAGTGCCCTGTTGAAGCTTTCTGATTCCCCAAGCACAGAAGCTCTCTCCAACAGAGAAGCAGGATGCAAGAGAGAGGTGCTCTTCTCATGGGTTTTTGTGAGGGCTTCATAGTCATGATAACTAGATCATTGGCCATTGGCTGATTCAACCTCCAGCCCCCACACTTGGGTGGGGTCCATAAGTCTCTCATTAACATGACACGACACCCATTTCACCTTTAAGGCTCTGAAGTGTTTTCAGGGCTATGAAGACCAAATATACTTGAGAAATATGTATTTGATCATCTGAGTATTATATGTATTATATATTTATAAGAAACATATTTATTTATATATTTCTTATAATTCATTATATCATGTTTGGTGTATACACACACGTATATATATTTATACATACTGTAGTAGCTCACCACCCACCCTTCATATATGGATTTTGTATAACTCACATCTGAAAATACTGTTATACAATACTACGTTAATATCAATGGCAACCCATTAGATAGTTGGAAGAATTCTAGAGTCTAAATATAATATTTGCAAATGTATCGTCTCATTGCTTTCCAAAGAGGCTCCATCTACAAGACCTTCTTCATCCTTCTACAAGACAAACAAGTTATTCATGTTAAAAATTATTAATCTTACAGTCCACACATAATGTATGGTGGCCTTTCTGATTACTTTTTATTTCTTAATTTATCAATCACTGGAGAAAAAATGCTTCTGCACAAATTGAGCCACGAGCTGTAAGACTTTCTATCTTTACACTTCTTACTCTTAAGACCTTGGGTATACCACTTAGCTTCTAGTTTCTTCATCAGGAAATTGGGTTAATTGCATTTGATTTCAAGGTGGTGGAATTATAAATAACTTATGCAAATTGTCTTACTCAATACCTAGCATATAGGAGGTTTCAATAAATAGTGAGTAATAAACCACTCTATTCTACCAATACATCATTCTAGCACCCTTGACAATCCAAAAATACAGAATGCTCAATAATCTCATTATCTATCACATTTAGCATCTCATTCTCCCTTTTACATTCCACTAATTTCCCAATGTCTACAATAGCCTCACTTTCTCCATTCACAAAAAAATCACCTCCTGCTCACCTTAAAAAGCAGAAGGATCCACCTAAACAGTCACTGCTCTACTAAAATGAACATAGTAATGTAAGTCTACTATACCCTTACATTAGTTTCTTCACGTCTTTTTTGAACTCCATGAAAGACCACTGTCTTTCTCATGTCCTATGAATATCATGAATAAAAGGTCCTATGTAAAACAGGGGACAAAGATGTAACTGATGAATTTCCAAGGCCTTCTAAATCCCAATGTTTTGTCATCTCAGGTAATCCGTAAGAACTCACCACATGGAGGAGTGGAGGAAGATAAAACTAAATACTTTAGACGACTAACACAAAACACTAGTTTTACATACCTTCATCTGCTTCTTCTCCTGATATAGTCAAATCAATTATTGGCTTAAGAACCATCTAAAAGATAAACACAGATGCTTTTTTTGCAACTATGCTCTCAAATTCAAATAAACAGCACTATCGTTTCTGTAGTGAACTACCTTTTCAAACTCATTCTTATGATGTGTTCTCAATTTCAATGAGAACAGGCGAATGAAGAGTAACTGCAACCTATCAAGCTATATTTATGCATTCTTCTACATGTTCTATTTTGAAGGTTTATTTATAAAAATGTGATAAACATACAAAGTGCTCTATTGGTTGTCCCCTCTCTCTTAATTGGTTTCTAGAAAACCAAATAGGATTTCTGAGTTGGATAGGTTATCAATGTTAAGTCCACATATTTTATATTAAGTATATCTTATTTATAAGGTAAAAAGGTGTTTCTGGCTTTACTTAAATACACGCATGCTTACACACAAAAACTGGTCTTTCCTAACCAAATAAATCTTTAGGGCAGTTCAATTATGGCAAAATAAATGAATACAGAATTTTATTTCAAAATCCCTAAATTCTAGAATCTAAACATCTGTAAGAACATTCCTTTCACTCCAGATTCAAAGTTTAAGGTATTCAAATGCTACAATACACCTGTCTTTCAGTTATAGGCACTGCTTCAAGGAAAAAAATAAAAACCATGAAATCAAATCAATTTCAGATAAGATATCATATGACTCTGATCTCTAATCTGACTTGTAAATTTGATGTGACTTCTACTATTCAGCAACCCACACAGATGATTTTCCTAGCAGGATGGTTATGTTAGTTGCACTATACTCTGACCAAAAACATGCAGAACTGGCAGTGGTATACCGAGAGAGTGAGCACTATATGCCTTGAATAAGAATTTCAAGGTAAGTCATGAGGGAATCTTTTTCTGTTTGTAGATGAGCTGTATGAACTACATAAAATGTGATCCGTTGTATATTCTGGAATGCCAGTTTTGTTGAATACTAAGATGAAAAACATGATGAAGATTCAAAGAGAAAAAAAAAATGGGATTCAGCTTTGAGAGAAGCCAACCACCTCATTTTCCAGAACTGCACTTAAGTCCTCTAAAACTGGTATAGACTTGTACCAAAAGCAGGAACTCTAACCAAATAATACATTGCTTTGGTTCAGAGAGTATTTTGATATTCTAGTTTTCTTATGATTCAACAGTTCCAGAAAATACATAAGTTCATTTACAGTTACACCTGCTCACTAAATAAAGTGAATTTAATCTAATTAAGTGAATAACATGCTACCATGTTACTAGGTCTGAAGATATTATTTTTTTAATTCAACTGCGCTTTAATTCTCCATAATACTGTATAGTATGATTTTCTGTTTACTACTGAGCTTAAGAGCCTACATGAAAGGATGTTTTCCTAGAAAATTCTGGGCAGGGTAGCTTTTTGCAAACAAATTTATTTTAAATACCCAGGGAGAACAAATTTCAAGAATATCCCCAAGCAAAAATTTCCATGAGAAAATCAAACTCCTTAGATTAACATTCTTAGGTTAATTTTTTTTTGATTAAGCACATGTTTTTCTTTACTGTATTTCCCTCATAGTATGGGAACCCAGCACTAAGGGTTGATAACTATGTAAGTTCCATAAATAGACAGGATCTTTAAAGCATGATTACCAAAGCAATTACCATATATCATTATGGAATGATAATACATTACACATTTCCCAAACAGATCAAATTTACTTTAACCACCCCAACCCCACAAAAAAAATTCATTTTTATTTAGTCATACAGTCCTTGGAATCATAGTAGGGCTTGATGCCATACTGGTGTCACACTCTGCCAGTCATCCAGAGAATATGCCAGCTTTCTTTTTCAACTTCTTTGTCTACTAGTGCATCACTGGACCCAGCAAGCAGCTCAACAAGACAATTTCAGTTAACGGATTTTGCTCTCTGTGCATAACAGATGAAAATCTTTATGAAGTATCCAGTTTGTCTTACAGCTGAGAGATCTGAACCTGCTGCAGATGTCACATCTAAATTCTTGAAGGGATTTTTATCATCAGTGTCACCTATAAAACAAGACAGTGTCACCAAAAGCAATGTTCTAGAAAACCTCTATTTCAGTAATGCAAAGCTTTCTGCATCATAACTGATTATCACTTATTTGCCCCAATTCTGGCCACTGCCTGTTCCTGTAGAGGCATGACATAAGCAAAGATTTTATATTTTTAAATGGTTGAAGTTTTTTAAAAAGACAACATTTTGTTATATGTAAAAATTACATGAAATTCAAATTTCAACCTCCATAAATAAGGTTTTATTGGAACATAGCTACTCATTCATTTATGCATTTTTCTATGGCTGCTTTCATGCTACCATGGCAGACTTAAGTAGGTGCAAAAGAGAACATATGACCCACAAAGCCTGAAGTATTTACTATCTGGTGCTTTAAAGAAAAAGTATGCCAACCCCTGGCCTTGAGGATATTTAGGGGGTAGGTACTATGATACCTAGTGTCTGTTAAATGTTGCCTGAAGAACCTGACTGTAATGACCCAGCTGCTCCCCTGCCATACTTCCACCCATTCGTTTAACAGGTATTTCTCGGGCAGGCTTGTCACTCCTATGCAGACATCTATAGACACCTTGCCTTCTACTCCGGCTCAGCCTTGCCTCAATCCAAGGGGTCAGTATTGCCCAAAAGCAGGAAAAGAAAAAGAACTCAACTTCAGGTCAAGTTCTAGTTCTTCGTTGCCCTCTTCTGTGTCCCCCAGTTCTCCTGGTTCTGGATTTCTGCATATCAACTATTCTCTGGAACAGGCTTCCTGTATTGCATACCAGTCTTAAAAGTCTGTATTTCCTGCCAGAGACCCTTGGGCAGTAGGCTGAATCACAGCATTCTTTGACTGAATTGTGCCAGATGATCATCAGTTCAGCTCCAGCTCAGACAGACATCCTGTAACATGAATTTGGGGCTCCTGTGAACAGCTTAAACATCCAACACTCTCCTGGCCTCCACCACACCTCCTGATCATGACTGCCCCTGGAGTTCAGTTTTCTTTTATAAACCTCTGGCCTATAAATCTGAGTTCAACCTTCCTAACTTACTGTCATTTTTTCTTGAACTCAGTTCATACAATAACCAAACATAAGAGCACAACAAAACTATATAAATGGATTTCCCAAACTAGGACTACCCACATTAAGACATCTCTTAACTTTTTAGCAACTGCCCCAAATGGGAGTTCCTCACACCCCCAAGCAGCATCAAAAACATCTCTTCTTCCCTTCATTAATGCTAGTTAGCCCAAAGCTTCTATACTTGCTTCATCTGACAGTGTTTCCTATCACCCTTTGCCTACTGAGGTGCCTAAGAAACCTGTCTCTTCAGCATTGCTTCAGAATGCCTCTCTTTCTTCTATTAAAGTTTTAACAATCCTGTACCTTTTGTGAGGAGGAAAGGGGTTTTCTTTTTTTGCCTCTGTTGGACTACAATGGAAAAATGGATTTGGCTAGACTTCTAGGAGTCAGAATGTTAGTCCCCACAGGAAGATGTTAACAGTCCACAATAAGGCTATCTATGCCCATACTAGTAACGGCATTATAGAACCCATCTGTAATTCAAACTATATTGTTGCAAACAATTAATTCACCAACATGTGAATTACAAGTCTATTCTTAAATTGCAGACTGACCGGCTAGAAAACTGCTATGAAATGTCAGGCAAACTTTACAACAGATTAGCCCAATGTAAAGACTTCAGAAAAATTGTTAATTTATTTTCAGCAAAATCAAATTCACTACAACCTTGAAGTAACCTGTCATGGTGAACAACTCCAAAAATACCATGAATAGCTAACAAACAAAAGAGCGGTATCAAGAATGGCAGCTGACTGGAACTATCACTAACTGTATCTCAATTCTGAGTAGCAACCATATAGATAGAATCAATTTTAAATGAAAATCTTAAACACACACACACAGGAATCCCCTGCCCATTTGGGGATGACAGAGAAGTCCAGTGACATATCCTTACAACCACAAAAAAAAAAAAAACAACTAGAGGCATAGAGTCCACATTCCAAAGGAATACTCAAAAGATTAAAACATTAGAACTTAACTCATTTGATGAACCTAGTCTCCTTACCTTAAAGGAACAGTTTTGGTATCAGGCCTCCTTTATGTTTCCAAAAACTTAAGACTCCCAAGAGCTTTTGTTAATGTGAGTTGTAGCTATCATTTTTATCATATTAGAAATTAAATGAGAAAATGTAAAGTATTTATTAATTCATTTTAAATTTTAGAAACATTTAATATGACAACATGCTATGAAAAATTAATTCCTAAACAAAAACTTAGTGATAAAAATGATACTGTTTTACAACTTCTGCAAATTTCTTTCTTGTCTAACTTTATAGGAGATAATTAGATTCTCCTATCTGCTTCTACATTCAATCTGTTGTGATACTCTGTTTTGATTAAAGTATGAGGGAAAGAAAAAAATAGCCCCACACAAATATGTAATGAGAAAAAAAGTTTATGTTAATATTAACAGCCTTTTCAGATAATTGTGGACGTTCTTTGATATTACACCAAAACTTGGTAAGTAGTAATTTAAGGACTAGCTGTAATATGGAACCTCATCTCACATGAACTTTTTGTATTCTGTTACTTGCTTTTTATAAGGGTCTTCTACCCATAACTGTGATCACTCTGAAAGTATTGGTTCACTGAGTTATACAGATATTCCAAATCTTGACATAATTAACTAATAAACGGCATAGCAAACACTGACATGCATTAGTATCACCACCTTTCTCATCAGAAAAATCTTTTAAGTATTGGAAAGATAACAAAGGCACAGGAGATAACACAAGTTTTCCAAATTTTAATTTTCACTTGAAAGTTCAACTTTTATCAGGGACAAATATTGTCAGTTGTTTTCCCTAAAGTGACAGGCTCATTTTGCTCACTTTCAGGAAAATGACCATCAAATATCTAAGTCTAAATAATCATAGTTTGATAGTCAATATTTAAAGTAAAAATGATTTTACCTGAAAAATACAGCTAATTTATTATGCAACTGAAAGAAAATCACGTAAGAGTTCTCCCTGAGAAAACCACTGTATCTGGATATGCAACAAACGGGCCTTTTTGCCTATTTACTATCTCATCACATAATAAAGTGTACTCAAGGATCAAGTTTTAATAAAATTAATCATTTTTAAGTGAAATTGGCCTTTCCATTTTTTTTTTTTTTACTGTAAGTACAATAATCATTAGTAGAGTTTGGTGCCACCACCATTTAATACCTACAAAGGCAGCCAGTTTTGGTGCTTTAGACAGTGCTTTAGTGACAGCAAGGCAAATATCAAAGCAGTGGAAAAGGCAAAAAGTTAGCATTACTATGAATATAGTTTTAACCTCACAGACCCCCTGAAAGGGTCTCAGTGACCCCCATGGGTCTACATACCACAGTTTGAGAACTGTTGTCATATAGAAACACTGAAAGCTATGAATAAGTTGCCATCCTCAAATCCACAGTAAATATCCCCCTACATAAGAAATACATTAAACATCTGTACAACTTCTTTCATTTTAATTCACATTTAGTGCAATTTGTTCTCAACCTGAATTGGTAATATAAGTAATAGCAGCAATTAACATTTAATGAGCCCTTGCAGGTACTACATCATTTAATCCTCGTAACTCTTAGTTCTCTGATACATTCATTCAACAGTTAAGCCTCAGGTGGACAGGGGAAGTCATCTGTCCAAGGTCACAGCAACTATCAGTACTTATGGATTCATATATTACTAAGAACTTTACATACTTCATCTCATTTCTTTACAACCTTTCTATTATCCTTTTTACCTTTTATTATTCTTTATACTTTTATAACCCATTCTATAGATGAAAACTTTGAATTAAAAAAGTAAAGTCTCCTGCCCAAAGTTACCCAAGTGTTGGATCACCCATATACAAATCCTAGTCTGTCTTACTCCAACAAGCACACTAAGTATTCTGCTCCTCTGTACACCACACATCAGTATACCCATATGTATGTAAGCAGACTGATGGTTTTAAGTCTTACATAGTTTTAAAGTAAACTGAGCAAGACTTAAATATTTGGAGAGATGTTTACTAATTTTATTATCTCTGTCTACAAATGGAACAAAATCTATTTCCTTTTAAAATAGCCTATAATATAAATAGATAGCTCATCAATTCACAGTACTAAACACTTATCTGCACATGACAACAAATCATTTTTAAAAGATTACTTTTCTTAAAAACACCCAATACACCGAGGTAGTATTATTCCCATATTACATGAGGAAACTGAAATTCAGAGAAGAACACTAACTTTCCCCAAAGACATGTTATTCTGAAATGGTACAGGCTGTTGCCTGTTAGTTTGGACTGACCCTGAAACTTAAATTCTTCAATCTCACTGCCTGCACATATTTAAGGTCTCAGGCAATGACCTAGGAATTGCTCACAAGGTCTGGACACACAACTTGCTGATATCAAATCCACTCTACCCAAGGCAATCAAGGTTAAATCATCTTTTTATCTCAAAGACCAAGAGGTGAAAAAGAAGCTGGTGCATGCTGAAAATAAAGATCTATGTTCTCAAGCGCTTTAAGTAAACCATCTATACGTTACGGAGAAGAAAGTAAACTTTACTTACAGAGGAGTCAGACAGCACACATTTTGGCTGACATAACCTCGCTGCTGTTTTAAACAAAACAAAAAATGGCTAGAGGAAAATATCACAGCTACATAGGCTATCTACAGATTACACAACAGCTTTCAGATGTCAGGAGCCCAGAAATGATGTAAACCTTAGTAAATGACAGCAGAAATCATTTTCCTAAAGCTTTTCAAAACTCCAATCAATCAGTAAAATTTTCATTTCAAGTTAGGATCTGCAAAGGTCAGAGGTTATGCCTTAGTATTTGCTTCTATTTTAAGGACCTACTCGGCAAGATGCTGCTTCATGATAAACCCTAAAGGGCACAGGGAAGAAATCAAGGTTTATCCAACTCAATTCATCCTTACAAGTT